CCCTTCTGCTCTACAGGAGAGACTTCCTGCGGTGGCTCAGGATTAACGATTTCCTTAAGGTACTCTCTCCATCACTGAAGAATGTCTTTATCCTCGCTAGCAGCGTGTCCAGATCTGTCCTTCAAGACTCTGAGACTGCCCGTCTTTTCACCTCGGAGTCGGCGGATGGTCGCCATGAAAACGTTTTGTTTGCCGTGTGAAAATTCGACTCCAGCACCTCACCGAACTTCTCCCATGAATCAGCCTTGGTTTTTGCCACTGCTATGGCTGCCGCCTTGCGTGCCTCGACATATCGCACGCGAGTACATCGCTCCTTGTTTCCAAGCCTTTTCTTGAACGCTGCTTTATTCTCTTTAACTGCCAGTTGTACCTCTCGTGTCCACCGTGAAGATCTTTTCTGACCTCCAGGCTGCAGGCCAACCCATTTATGTCCGCAGCATTCGGCGGCAGCCTCGAGTAGGCCTCTCTTAAACAGCTGCCATTCGGTTTCAATATCAATTGTCATCACCGGGATCTGTTCAAACCGTCGTGCGACGTTGCTGTTGCGTTTCAACCTTCGCTATTCATAATCCATCCGACTTCTTAGCGTTCGCTGTGAGGGCATCACAAACGCAAATCGATGCTGCTTCACTGTAGTTCATTCAGAATCCTGCCTGCTCTGCCGCTGTTACCATTTTTTCAGATATCATTCATCCCCTTCCGCCGTCTTACCTCGCAGTGGCTAAGGGTGTAGTAGGCCATCCATCGCTGACATTTCTTCCATTAACCTCTATGATTTTTTCTCCTTCGCCATTGTTGAGCAGTCAGCGACGGAAATTCGGGTCCGTTTGTCATATGACTGCTTTCACCCGGGATTCTTAGCAGCCTGTCGTCAGTAGTCGAATACCACACTGCGCCGTGGAACGAGTCGAAAGTGGCGCAGGGTACTGAGACCCGTTTACTGTGTTGCCATGGTGAATGAAGCTTTTGTCAGCCGCTGACAGGGTTGAATGTAGCCTGGAGAACTTCTTACACACGCGTAGCTCAATTCCAGCCGGTTTTCTATTGAAGCTTTTTCTTCTCTCCTTTGTCGAACTGACGTCTATCTGCAAGGCAGCTAGTGACACTAGCCGCGTCTTTCTTCAAAGGGGAAGGTCGCTGTCGTCTCGACGTGAGACTGAGCATTGGGACTTTTTTCTCGATGATCGAACTTGTCCAACTCGAACCCAGCCATTACCTGGTGCTCTGACCGCCGCGTGTCGGTGACCACTCGTTTGTCGACGCTAACTCAAATATCTGTAAGCCGTTCCCCTCGCTGCAGCCCAAGGACGCCGCACAAAACGGCCATCTAAAAAATTGGAGAACACAATTTACTGTGTAACAACCAAGTGCGACATTAGTACAATTAACGTAATGGAAAGGATTCATAACTCCGCCATGGCCGGTCCCAAGCCCGGATGAGAAAGGAGGAGGGTAGGAGACCTTGGCAAGTCTCCGTAAAATTCAGCCACCTGCCACTCATGGTATTGACGCCTTCGAAAATTA